TTCCGTTAATGCATGGTCTATAAAAGGCTGAGCGACCACAAAATACCACGCTTTCCACCATGCCAGTCCCTCATTGCAAGCCCACGCCACCATCCACTCATCCACAAATTCCGCGCGAGGTCTCATCGTGCGTCCGGCCGAGGGGCCCCAAGACCTTCATGCGCTCATCTCTCAGCCGTTCCGCCGCCTCTAGGAGGGTTTCCGCCCTCAGTTGTGCCTCCTGGTGTTCCGTATTGATTGGAGCCATTGGAGGCCACGGGTGTCTGGCTTTGAGAACAAGACAGTGGGCAAAGGTGGGAGACTGTGGCAAGCTCAGGGAAATGAGCTAAGCTGGTGGATGATTGCAAGTGCTGCTCTGTTTGGCACATGTCGAACACATCCCGGCTCTTTCCCGCATGTCAACAGAACAAAGAACAGCTGTCCTCGGGAGCATCAGCATTGAAGAGCTCTTCAAAGTGGTTGCGGGAGCTCCTGAGATTCTTCTCCGGTGGAAAGGGGATCCAAAACAAGCCGCTTTAGCCAAGCTTGAAGGGCACTCAATGGAAGAAGGCGGAAACACTTCCTCCTTCAACAGTCACAAAAGGGATTCTCAGATGTGCACAGTACGTGCCTGTACATAAACCCAAGTGAGCAGGTGCAACGACAAGAATGCGATCTGGATTATACTGTAGCATGGCATGTGCCTTGGAATCCATGAGGTGCACAAACTGGGCCACAAGTTGAACGTGTATAGGGGAGACTCCCTGATAGACACCCTGGTAAGGAGAAATAGACCAAAACATACCAAAACCCAGTTGGTTCGGGGGTGACCCTATTGAAAAACACTGCACCTTAGGATTTTTACCACTTTCTCGCCCGTCAGTACCGTATTGCTGGTGCTCCCGTCAGCACGCACGAAGGTCCGGGGGTTTCGGCAGGTCCGGCCAGACCCCGGGGTGGCGAAGGGAGGCCCTTCGGAATCACGGCTATGGATAGAGACCCTATGGCCAGCAGGGCTCTGGATAACTCTTGGGGGGTTGTACAGGGACCCCAACCCTAGGGCTCCAAGTACCCTTCAAAAAGGTGTTTGGGTGGGGTGGGTTTAGAAGGTCCAAATACCTTCTGAGGAGGTACTTGGAGCCCTAGGGCAGGTGTCAGGGTGTCCTCTAGATGATTCCTCAATCCGCGGGTTCGGGTGTTTTCACTCAGCCCGGACTCTTTTTTGCAGAGGCAGGCATCGGAGGCGTGGACGAGGCCAATCATATATACAGTAGAACATCCCATGCATCGGGATGGCCACCGTGTTCGACGTTGTAATAACTTGCCTGTGCAATTCATCAAGGTTAGAACGGTGACTGGTGGAACGGGCAGCCTGTGCACCTACCTGTGCACAGAAGCACCTGCACTGCTAGCAGTGGCGGACGGGGTCGCGAAGAGGTGGTCATCGGCGGAGCGGAGCGGCGCACGAAGAACATGTGGAGCCGGTCTTCGCCCGGCAAGGAGAGTAGTAGTAGTACTCGGGAGGAGGAATTGGCTGGAAGTGATGGATAGCTTCGATATGCTTTGGGCTTAACTGCAGCGGCGGAAGGCCTCTGCTTACTCTCGTATCTAAGCGGCAGCGGACGCCGGCCATTTCACCAGGTACCAGGACCCCCCCGGCAAACGGGGCTTCTAACGGAGCCCCTTAGAGGTTTAGGCGGTATATCCATTAACCACCACTTGTGGGTCCTGGTACATGTTCCATAGATATTCATAGTAAATCCATGGTAAATCCTGTCTATCACCAGTCACCTCCCACCGCCAGTCGTTCGTCCCAGGCGCCCTGCCGACACCGGACCAGCCCAGTCTGCCAGGCGCTCCTGCCGAGGTTCAAATGGATTCGCCTCCCTTTGGGCAATGGGTGTCCAATAGACTACCCTTACCCTACACTACGAGTACTTCGGGATTTTTCTTGGACACCCAAATACGACGACGGTCCAGGAAGATTGTTGATTCACCCTGGGTGGCAGCCTAACTTAAAGGAGTTCTGAGAACTATGATGGCTTTGAGTTCGGAGTCAATGTCCATAGAGCCATGATTAGGCTCCACGGCACAGGACCTCTGACAATGGGGTGCCGCACAAGCTGCCACACCTCGCCCACCCTCTCCCAAACCACTAAGGGCAAACAGGCAAACAGTCCATTAAAGACAAACCCCACAGGTCAATGACCTCAAAAAATCACTGGAGTTCGTCAATGACCTGTAAAAACATGTGTCAAGAAGGTTAACAAAAACAAAACAGGTCTTACTGGGTCAGACTAGTAACAAGAACGCTAGTAGTAACAAGTGCATCGCTAGTAGTAACAAGTGCCTTACTAGTAGTAACAAGAACGCTAGTATGGACTTTTGGTCGGGACACATGGGACCAGTCCCAGCCCGGACCGTCACCCGAACCTTCGACCACTTGCAGGCCCCCGACCCGGCCTCTGCACCGCACCTGGCAGCGGATGGCGGCGTGGGAAGGAAGAAAGGAATGTGTGGAATCCCTTCAGAAGTTCGGTAGATCTGGTGGAGATTCATGGATCCAATGGCTAGGCTGAGCTGTAGGTTCCAACCTTTTTTCTGGTGGACGAGGGCTCTAGGTTTTGACCATGTTTGACGGTTCTTGCATCTCCATATCATCTGGTCCCAGCACTGTGGTATCCTCTAGGTTGTCCCCTCATTTCAACATCCGCATCGGCGTCGACCGATGTCATCGACCTGGCACAACCCGCGGGTGTTAGGGGGTTGACTGAACACCCCTGAGAAGGACCTATTTAGTTTTGTTTAGTCTGTTTTAGCTATATACATAGTTATTTTTGGAAGGAATAACTTAGGGCTATATTTTTGCTCAAGCAAGCAAAGCAGGTAGGTATAAAGCGGTATGGAAAGTGTCTGTATTACTATATTCGAATCTATATTGTACACTGTACACTCTTTTTGGGGCTGGGCGGTGGCACTGGATGTAGAACGGTTGACGAAGCACCGACCCCCAAGGCAGTTGAAAGGGACTTGCTGGGACGAGACCCGGGCAGGAGGCCCTCTGAGGCTTTGCTGTGCAGGAACCATAAACAAACAACACATTGGAAAAAAAACAATGAAAAACATATTCCCCAATTTGGGAAAAAATAACATATAGAAAAAAAAACACATGGATGTTTTTCAATGTTTTTCATGGTTTCTTCCTTAACAATCACCCTTTTTTCTGCGAGGTCGATTGCTTCGACCTCGAGTGATCACCAGCCAAGTTCGGAAAACAGATGGAAATAGGGCGGGTAGTTCCCGGCGTTGGTGTGCATCCCTTTCATCTCAACCAAAAGAAATGGTATCGGTATAGTTGGAACATCGAATACTGGAAGTTGGCACTGTTGGCACGACTTGTATCCAGGGAAGTTGGCAAGTAACTCTTCTCAAAACTCAGTGACACCTGTGGCACGAAACGAAGACTTCGAAGTCTGTGGCACCTCGTAACAAACTCCCCATTTGAGGTGCTAGGATCTTGTAGGTAATACGCCTACACGACAAATTGGGACTGAAAAATATCATATGCAGATCAATTGACCCCCCCTTTCACCACCACCCCATGGAATGGCAAATATCGCATATGGAGCGTCTAGGATATATAGAAAATGAGATAATTATTTAATATAAACAACAACAAAAACACAAACACACAAAAAACACACAAACAAAAAATGAATTGCAGGTACTCACAATGATTCGACTTTTAATCCATGAGCCACAAGTTCCAAAATCTGGGGCAGAATGATGGAACATGGTCCGGTGTTGTCCCTGTTTGACTGAATGGAGCTTCGCCAGACCAACATGACCACAAACCCAAAAAGGCACCGTCCGCTTCGCCACGCGCCACGTCCGCCCCGTTCGCCCACGCCGCCTGCCGCGATCGCCCCACATGACCGCGCCGACCCGCCCCGACCGCCGAGCCCAGCTGTGGAAGGACGGTGAAAGCGGCGAGTGGCGATGTCCTGCACTGAAAAGCACCACGTCTCGTGTCGAACATGATCACTGACCCTCTGGAGACCCAGTTGAGCGGAACCACAGGTTACAGGTGACATCTGTGCGGAAACGAAAGATAGAACCACCAGCTAAGGATTCAGGCATTGCATACAAATCATGCCACTGCTCCCATTGAATGGTTGCTCTGGCCTGAATCACATGGAAGGCTAGCCTGACCACATGGGTAGCTAGATCTTCGGGGGTAAAAATGGAGTGAGTCTACCAGACTGTTGATTAGCACAATCCAAATGGGGAAAACTTTAATTTATTCATCAAGATTCTAGAATACCCAAAAAATCGCCCCTGAGCAGCACTGATCATATACATTTGTCTTCTTTCAAAGCCCTAGGAAATAGCTTGCCACCTAGAGACCATCACAAACCACCGCCGGTGGGATTCCCACTGAGTCCACCACCCCCAAAAACAGGAAATGCAGGAAGCATCCCGCTGATCAGGATCTTTAAACTCAAATTCCATCAGTTTCCCTGGAAAATAACGGTTGACCTTTTTCCACATGTTCCATCTGTCGCACGCGCGTGACGTGATGTCGGTGACTCTCTGGTCAACACATGTTCTCGTTTAGTGGGAAGCTAAAGCCAATTCCAAACGACACGTATGCAACGATCTTGGACCCCGCTCCTGTCATGTCCTATCTCTCTGGGGGGTCACTTAATACGTTCCCAGGGAGGCGCGTGTTCCCACAAACCTGCACGGCAAGCTGTTTCCATTGCCATGAATTCTTTCGTTTGACAGTTCAACACATACCTGCCACTTCTGAGCATTGTTTGAGGGATCCAACTCACTCGGTTTAAATGCTTTTGGAACGTCTCATACATGGCAGACCCCTCCCAACAAAAACTAAACCTCGGTAGTGTTAATTGTTCCAGCATGTTCCATCCCCAGCCAGTGGGAACCAACCACCCGCCCCCACCGGACGCGACGCCGAACGCTCCCCGCGCGTCCGAAGGTGTGTGGGGCATCCGGACTTCGGTCGCGGTGGCGAGAGAAATGCCCTGGGGTGTCGTCCATGGCCGGAGTGACCGGTCGCAGAGTGAGGGAAGTTCTTCTTCGGACGACGTGTGGCGACCAAGAAAGGACGGCAGTGGCTGCAGCGGTGAAGACGAAATCTGCGAATCAAAGGTTTAGAATGTGCACACCGGTGTTTCCTGGTGACAAGTCCGGTGTCCAAAAAAAACACCTCTGGTCAGGTTCCAGCACTGTGGGAAGGTGGTATGTAGAGTGTGGAGAGAGTGCAAAAGAACGACAGGAATAGACTATCAGACGTACAGGTCAACGACCTCCTCTTTTTGGCAATATTTGGTCATACAAAAACACGAAAACGAATGTTAAAAAATCAGGTTTTTGCTGGGTCAGACTGAGTCAGACTGGACTTGCAGGGTATGGTTTTCTCTTTGTGTCTCGCTCCCCAGCTCTTCATCCAGCTACACTTTCTGGCCTTTTGGGCCAACTCCAGGGCTGTTTGAGGCCTCTCACGACCTGGGCCGACTGACGCGTCTCCGAATGTGTGCCCGAACCAAACGAGAAGAATATCACACGGTGACATTCTGTTTGTTGATCCAACCTTGAGAGGTGTCGCCAGGTGAGGGGCAACACCATGAATGTTGACCATGGAGGAAAAAGACAGACATATATAATGAATGTTCCAAAAGGTGTTCCCCCAGGTGATGGAATATGCTTGTTGAACCTGAAGACCAACCCAACGTATCCACATCGGGTGGTGTTGGCTTGGACTTCTCCACTGCCAGAAATGCGGTCTGTCTTGGGTCTTGCCTTCGCAAGCCAAGAGCAAGCCCAATCGATCGGCGTGCTCATGGTGTGTTCATCGGTGTTTCTTCGATTCATCCGGTGAGTGGATCGATTCATCCAGAGTGGACCGCCCTTCGATCAACGACCGCCCTCAAACTTGTTCTCAACTTGAGGTCCGGCGCAGAACACTGCCATCCGGGGCTGGCGGTTGAGGAGGAGGAAAAAGGAGAGGAGGAGGAGGAGGAGAGGAGAAGCACGGCAGCTGACATAAAACCTAACAACCCTCACCTGACAGGTGGGGAAATACAACAACATTCACCAGTTTCGGGTAGAATACCCATGGGTTCATAGCGGAAGTAAAGATCACCGCAAGCAAAACCATGAATCATGAGGTGCCCTAATTCATGTGTATGAGTTTCTTTGGAGGTTCTCTCAGTAACGATCCCACAAAACATCTACCCCTGGCTTGCAAAGTAGCCTGAGAACATCTGAGAACAAAATACCATCAGGCTCACTAACATGGAAGTGGAAAATGGTCCTTTGGAACACTACTGTCCTTCGCAAACAGGGATTTTGTCCACTTCCATGTGATGTGCTCGTCGCAGTGTAGAATCTTTTGGGTGTTCCTGAGCTTGTGGATGCTACATCAGGGCGTACTGGCACCTGCTAAATGACGGACCCACTGCGCTCTCACCAGGACCCACTTGTAAGGGGACTATGTTAGATTATGTCATATTATAGTGGATTGAGAGTAGATGGCACCATCTCCAAGGTCGGTGGTTTATATGGACCCCCCATCTAAAGGACGTCATGGGGTCTGTGCCATCTACTCTGAAACTACTGTGACTGTATGCACATGTCTGCACCAAAAAGGGGAGATACCCCGCTGAAAAGTCACATGGACAGAGAAAAACGACTGGTAAACTAAAGGAAAACCATTCTTCTACTTGGGTGCCATTCTCAGGGTCCATGTTAGTTTTCGGGAGTGTATGTAATATTACGCACCATGTAGGGGAGATGATATTGTTTTTTAGGGGTCTGAAGCTTCCGTGTCCAATCTCTCATTGGTTGTACTCATCGAAGCCAAAGCTTCCGTGCAAAATCAGGGAGCTTGCTTTCAGCGTTTGCATGCCAATCTCTTTCGAGTCCAAACAGGAAAGCTAACATCACAACTCCAACGTCCACCAAAAGTGTATGTTGGACTTGTCCTTTTCAATTGGGTCCATCTTGCCGGGACATCCACAAAAGCTCACAAAAGAGACGAATAAATCACACAATAATTCTCGCATGAGCTCAGTCTGGATTTTCTCCATGTTTTGATGTCGAGCCTTGCTCTTTAGGCCCTGGCAAATGGTGCCCAGGCCACAGCCACCGCAGCGGTCTCCCTCGCAGCGCGAAACCCGCGCGACACGGACCCGATCCGAGTGGCGGCCCTCGGATCCACGATCGATCCTGGATCCTGGAAAGGGGGAAAAGAATCTCTTCGGGAAACAAGCATAGGCAACCAGCTCTTTGATATAGCACTATGTTTTTGATATTATAGTATATAAGTACTATATAAGGTTTACTTTGAGAATGAAGTGACCGTCCTTCGAGTGCTCACTATCTCAGTGCACCCAGTTCCGAAAGTAGGTCCGTGGTTTCAATTAAGAAACACATTGAATCACAGGTATAACCCACTGGTGGCCGCAACTGGCCCAAGTGGGTTACATTCTGACTCACATTCCATGGAAGTGGATGCAGAAGAAGTCTTTCCTCTACAAACAGGTCTTTCTCCACCAAAGCATCTAGTGTGTCAAACATCTGAGCTGGTTGATGCTTGACGCTCTTCCCAAAACTATTGTTTTTCTGGGGTCGTCATTCCCAGATATGGGTGAAAATGGTACTAAAATGACAGATCATGAACGCACCAACCACTTCAGGTGCACCGAGCACTCCCCTCCCCGAACCGCACCACCGCGGCCGTGCCGTCGCACGTCCCGAAGACCAACGGCGAAGACGGCCGCGGCTCGGAGGCCTCCGTGTAGTGCGACTGCGCCGGCGCGGCGGTGGGCAGGGGCCTCGGAGCAATGGAGCGGTGGTGGAGCCATGGACGGTGGAGGGTTTGAGGGAGGTGTTTGGACTTGGAATTCATCCCTCCTATAAGTGCAAGTCCTATAAGTTCCCTCCTATAAGATAGTTCCCTCCTACTTATATAAGTGGATTTGGAATTGAGGGGATCGAAGGCTGGTTTTCGTTGGTTCTCGTAGGTTTTCCTTGTCGGCCAAGCACTCACTTGCGCACTGGAAAAAAATCGCACTTGCGCACTTTACCTCACTTGCGCACCCAGCACTCACTTGCGCACTTTCAGGGGGAGGTGGCGAAAGGACATTCAATCACCAAACAGTCAAATGGGTGGGGTGGAGGGTGGGAGAAGGCGAAAGGAGGTTCAACCACCAAACAATTGATTGGGTGGGGTGGGCTCAAGGGTGGCAACAGCCAATCTACAACCACCAAACATCACCAAACCATTTATTGGGTGGGGTGGGGCACCAGACCATCTATGGATATTGGGTGGGTTCGGGGGAACAGGTGCTCGTCTGCTTCGGAACACCCCATTTTTCAATGTGTCTTCCAAAACGGTACCGTCCGTTGCTTGTCTCCCAAGTAGTTATACTCAAAGAACACGCACTTATGTACTGGACATGTTAGGAACACCCCATTTTTCAATGTGTCACCCCAAGCGCACCGTTGCAGAACCAAGTATACTCAAGGAACTTGTGCTTGTGCACTGGACAAAGGTAGGTCCAACCACCCATACGAAGAAGCAGGACGGGGTCTTTTTCCGCTGGTGTCAAATCAGCTATGCTTGTTTGACTTCATCCACCTCCTTTGCCACACCTTTCCTCTGGTGCGGGTGGGTGGGAAAACCGAAGCGGTCAGGGCTTGAGCCAAAATGGCGTACTCAAGCCCTGACCCCACCCAGACCTACCTAGTATTGTCCATCAGAAAACTCCTTCGTCTTTTTCTTGTACGACAAAGGTAGGTCCAACCACCCATACGAAGAAGCAGGACGGGGTCTTTTTCCGCTGGTGTCAAATCAGCTATGCTTGTTTGACTTCATCCACCTCCTTTGCCACACCTTTCCTCATTGCTTTGCGCAAGTAGGAGGCATTTCTGGCAGCTGACCATCGTCACGTCCAATCCAAAGCTGAAGGCCGAAGCACCGAAGGGCCAACCGCAACGAGTATGCCATGCCATGACCGGCGAGGCTATTGGCTGTCGCTTGTTCTCGTGCACCATCCCACCCCTTGAGATCACCGTGGGTGGTAATAAGCCGTGGTTCTCTTTCGACACCCTTTCCCACTTCAAAATCGACTCGTCCAACTTGTCCTGGGTGGCCCTGAGAAACTGTATCTCCTTTTTCAGTTTGCGCTCCGTGTCCTTCAGCTCTGTCAGTGCCTTGATGTCCTGTTCTTTCAACACCGGTGTGGTTGGGACCTTCGTGTCAGCCTCGGTGTCATTCTTGTTGTTAATCTCAATCTGTGGTCTCGGCATCACCGGCATCGTCTCCAAGGCTTCCTCCGCATATTGCAAGATCACGTTCGATTTCCACCTGCCCAGGTAAGCGACTTGAGGTACTTGCCATCCCTTTCGAATATATTGCAGTGCCCCTGACCTTCTCCCCGAGTGGCCCGAGATGCCCTTGCCAAAGCATTTTCGCCACGCGCCGATGAGCTGGTCCTTCGACACCTCGCCTTCGTTGTCGCCAAACACCAACTTGTCGGATTCGATGGGCACATTGTCGAGGGTCGTTTTGGTGATCTTGTAGGGGCACGGCTTTTGCCAGTCACACTCACCCTTACACGAGCACTGTAAAGTTCTTTTCAGTCCCTTCGCCTCCTGGTCGCCTTTGGTGATGCGCAATGTCAGCGACACTAGATGCTCTTTCTCTTCGAGCACGATGTCCTCTTTGTGGATGGCTGCCAGCTCCACTTCTCTCAACATCCAGGTCGTGGCGAATGCGAATAGCAATGCGGGGTAATGTACAGTTCCCTTCTGCGTCTCATTCAACTCCGCCTTGCAAGCTTCGAACCACGTGTTCTCCTCCACTTCTTTGGCTTTCTTGGCTGGGCCCTTTGCCCGGTTCAGGGCCCTGGTAGCCTGGGCGTATGCCCTCTGTAGTTGTTGCGTCCAACTTGCGCCAGCTTCGATTGCCATGATCTTGTATTCGGACAAGTAGGTAACCCCTGCTTTGTACTCAGAAGACTTGAGTACAGCACCTACCTGCTCCAACGTTTCCGGCGACCAACACGTCGTGCCTCCCTTCACGCCCAGGTTGAACAAAATCTTGTCCACGGTCCTCCTCACTGAGGCCCTTGCCCTTCTCGATGAATTTGCATAGTAGCCTTTCTGAAAGTTCGACACGGTCCTGGTCCTTCTCGAGCTGCTTGACCTGAACATCTTAGCTGTTCGAATGGCCTTCAACCACTTTTGGTTTCCTTTCAGATTCGAGTTTGCTGTCGGTCGTTGGGGTATGTCAGGCCGTAAGCGAGTTGCTGCTTTGCTCTCGCTCCACCCTTCACGCCGAACACGAGCACCCCCTCGATCTCCCTTCTCCCCCTCCGGTTTCTCCTCGGCTGGATCTGAGTCTCTTCTCGCCTTCTTGGACCATGCTTCGCCTTCACCACCTCTTCGACGACGTTTCACCAAATGTACCAGGGAGCCGCTGTGCACCTCTTCCCCCTCCCCTTTAATCCCCGGCGGGGAAGGTGGGAATTCAAAATTTTCAGCTTCCTGGGCCACCTCCTTCGCCGTCTCGTCGGCCGATTCCTCGTCCTCCTTCGTCCCAATGAACCATGGTCCTGATCGATTTGCCTTCGTCTTCCCCTCGCTCAAAGCTGCCAGCTGTCCTTCGAGTTGAGCCTCCTCGTGACTAGCCACATCATGTCCCTCGAGGCCATCACCCTTTCCCTCAGCGGCGGTGAAGATGTTCCCGGTGTGTCTACCTCCGTTGAAGGGGCTGAAGCCGTCCCCTCCGTAGCCCGCGTCTCCCTCGGTGAGAAGCGATCCACCAAAGATCTCCACGGGGCCGGTTCCGAAGGCGAAGATTGCGGGTGTCTCCTCCTGGTTCCCCTCTCCGGCGTCCATTCCAGCAGGTTGTAGGGGTAGATGTCCTCGTTGTCTCTGTCCATGTCCCATGGTTCCACCCATAAGTCCTCCCCTTCTGGTTGATGATCTTCCCCTGGATCGTCCTCTGCTGCTTTCCCTGTCTCCTCCGCCTTGTCCCTTGCTCTTGTGGTTGACCGCGGAGAGTAACAGCTGTGAATGAGATGCACTAAGCGTCTGCACCCGAGCCATACTGCCGCGAGGTGGGTCAGTACTCCAATTGCGACGAGGTAGAAAATCCAAAAGCGAAGCCATGGCCACGAATAGGTGCCCACGTACACCTGTGGCGGGGAAGTCGTGACCACCTGCGCCACCTCCATCTTGAGCCCCGACTGCTAGGAGTACCTGACATGTGTGCGATACGGCCGAACGAACCCGAAACACGCTTACCCGACCTACCAGGTTCCACCATGTGGCCTCCCGGCAAGTCCCAGCTCCTTTTCCTTCCAGTCGACCATCACGGTCGCCAGCTCCAGGCTGCCGTCAGGGCTGCTTCGTCCCGCCATTCGGCGGAGTCCGGCCCGGGCGGATGAAGGCTGTACCACTCGACCGTCCGCTCCACTGGCGTTTCGATCGTGATGCCTTCCAAAGCCGATGGCAAAGTGGTGCTGCTCCATGTGTCCGGCCTGGACAGGAAGTCGGCTTCCTTGTTGGCTGTCCCTGGCAAATGTACCGGTTTCAGCTCGGCCAAACCCAATGCTTCGCAGGCCACCGCCAGTTCGGCTCCCAAGAAGTTGAGCGATGACCCGCTGTTTGAAAACTTCTGTGTCATGGCCAATGCTGTGATGGAATCCGACTGAACGGATATGGCCAAGTTGACGGAAGTCAGCAGTCGCCCCCAATGTCGTAGCGCTGCCAGGATCGCCAGCGTCTCCACAATCCCTTGCGAACTCGATTGACCGAGTTCGAAACCCAGCAGCTTCGCGTCCAGCTCGCCCACCGGCGACGCCAATGCCTTGGTGACCCGTCCGTTCACCAGCAAGATTGCTCCCAAGCCCTGTGGGGAAGCGTCTGTCAGCAACGTCAGGTCGGCCCTGCCTCCCTTGTAGAGGTTGAACTTCCGGATGGGTTTCCCCTGCGCTGCCTTGAGGTATGCCAACAGCCACACCCTTGCCTTCTCCAGCCTCTTCACCGGGATGAGATGGTCCTTCGGGCGGCTGTCCTTGCGTTGCTCCCTCCTGATTGCTTCTGTTCCCTGCGCCACGTCCTCCTCATGATCGTAGAGGGTGGCGTAGAAGGTGGACGTCACCCAACGGGCCCTTGGCAAGATGCCCGCCAACCATGCCACTCGGCCGGCCGCTTTGCGAAGTTCCGATGCTGCAATCCTGCCCTTCTTTTCCCAAGCCTCCAACTGCTTTTGCAGCTCCGCCATGAACTTCTCCGGTAGCGTCACCAACACGTAGTCGTAGTCTGGTGCCACCAGCTTGAATTTCACCCCGACCCATGTGACAGCCGCGGCTCGTGCCCCCCTTTGACAGTGACAGCTTCAAGCCCAGTGCGGCCATCGTGGTCAGGATGCAAGCCAGTATCTTGTTTCGCACCTGCAGCTTCCCGCATAGCACCCACAGGCTGTCATCCAGGTACACCTGATGCATACCGATCTCCTGCGGGATTATCGACTGCACCAACCTTGCGACCATCGCTGCCACCCTGCTCCAAGTCAGTGGCGCCGTCTTGAAGCCGAAGAGCAAGGCGACGAACAAGAGCCAGTGTTCGTTGTCCAATGCTGGGGCTAAGCAGTGTCCTTTCTCCTCTTCCTTCACCGCCAGGTGCATGTAGGCGTCCGATATGTCGATCATTACCAGCTCCATCGACCGATCTTGTTGGCTGCCCCGCTCCGCATGTAATGCGTGCATCCTTCTCATCATTGCCACCGCATCCATGGGCCTCGGGAGAATGATGCGTTCGGGCAGCTCTGCCTTCTTGTTTCCACCCGACCTCTTAAGGTCAATGATTATGCGTCTCTTCTTCGAGCCGTCCTCCTTGACCTTCACAATGAGTCCCAGCCGACTTATGGTCGTGCCTTTGAATCCGGCCTTCTCCACCTCCTCCTTCTTCACTTTGACTGCGTAGCCCAGCTCGCAAAGCCTGCCCACCTCGACCTCTGCATCTTCTACTTGTTCTTGCACCGACGTGTAATTCCCGATGTCTTCCCTCAACCCTTCCGCCGCCTGGATGTCCCCCAAGGCCTTCTTCTCCTCTGGTTTAGTTGAGGGTGGGAAGATGCCGCAAGTCCTGATGGGGCAGTTTATGCCCAGGGGCACTCCGTCCCTGATCCATCGATGAACCTCTGTCTCAGGGTCTCCTCCCCTCCTTCCCCACGCTTCGAACAGGTTGCCTTCCAAGGGTGAGGTAAAAGTCCACTTGCCCTTCAATTTCAATGAGCTCTCGCCTCTTGCACCCGTGAGTCTCCTCAACTCTTCCTTCCACCTCTCGATCATCTTCTTCTCCAAATTGCAATCAGGCGTGCCGTAGCTCTCCCCCACCTTCGTCGCCGCCGGGTACCTGTTGCAACGCCGGTCCCAAGCTCCCAGGATCTGTCTCCCCAGGTTCTGAAGCGTCGGCAGCCCTGCCACCACTTCCGCCGGGTTCTTCAATCCCCCGATGAAGGTCTGCTGGCCCAAGTCCTGTTCCTTCTTCTTGTCCTCCTTCAGCAGCCCATACTTTCCTTCTCCTGGCTTCCATCTCAAGTCCTGTGTCCTGTCTTTCTCCTTTGTCTCTTTCGCCTCACCTCCTTTCCCCCTTCCCCTTGATCGTGACCTCTTCTCCCTCTTGACGCCACTGCTCCTCGCCTGTCCATCGTCGTGGGCTCGATCGTGATGATGTTCTCTTCGCCTCAACTCCTCCTTCTTCTTCGCGTCATACTGCATCTTCTCCTCTGCCTCGTCCTTCTGCCACTTCCTCTTTCTTTCCCGTCTTTCCTGCATGTCCATCGTCGGCGATGGTGACGTCTTCACACCTTCCTTCATCCTCACCTCCCTCGACTGCGTGGCCTCTGCATTGCTTGTTGCTATTTCGTCGTGATCTTGTTCCCCTTCTCTCAACCTCCCCTCCAAGTACTCCGCTGTTGCCATCTTCTCGAAGTGCTGCATGAGGAGGAGTGCATATGCGTTGCAAAGCTCCCATGGGTATTCCCCTGACTCCTTCGACTCCTTCTTACCCACGATTGGTCTGTGTGAAGCTGTGCCGCACCTGCATTCCCTATCCAGTGACTCGATCCCGTATAGCGACCCTGCGAATTGCTGCGGTTTCCAATGGCGATCCCCTCGACTCCTGCTCGACTGATATGCGCAAGTGTTGAACAAGGAGATCTTCACCCCTGGCAAGCGAAGGTATTGCACCATTTCTTTCATGCCCCAAGCCGAAATGTGCCCTTCCACCTCCGAAGGCGGAGGGTTCTCCAGTGTCGTGGGCTTCACTACAATCGCCGTCGTTGGGGATCTCATGACCTCCTCTGCCAACTGGGTTGAGCGAGCTAGCATCACTGTCCCTCTATCGCACTCTCTCTGCTGCGCCTCGTTGTTCGAGGCCTTCCCATATGGTTCAGCTCGAGTGCGAACAGGTCCTGGTAGTCCGGCCGCTTCTCTAAACCTCAAACGCGAAAACGTCGAGCAGGGGAAGCCGGCATGAAAGCCATCTATCAAGCCTTCTCTTGCCCAGCGTAGGTGGGTGTTGTACGGTTCGTCCGCACACAAGTCCTGGCCCCAATCTCGTTCTGCGGAGATCACCTCGACCTTCAAGCCCCTCTTCTTCGCCACCCGGTGGATTTCAGCTCCCAGGGGATCCCTTGGACCCGAGTAATGATGGAGGAAGCGGAACCTGCGTTGCTTGATGTACTTTGTGATCTTCTCATCCAACGCCTTCTGGTTGTCCTCCTTCTTGGACTCCTCCTTCTCCCGATCCTGCTCCTTCTCTTTACCACCTTCATCGCCGTCTTGGTGTCCACCTTGTTGAGATTCGCCTGAAGTGCCCTTCACCTCTTGCCCTGACACCGATGAGACGGGTGACCTGGCGAACCGCACGACGAGCACTTGTGAGCCCGTTTGATTGTATTCGCACATTCGGCGCCAGCTGGCAAGGATCCACACGGAGAATTCCCGTTGTTCCATGAGAAGCAAACAGATTCCGCCTGCTTCCCTCCTCCGCCCTTTTTCCCCTTTCCCTTTCCTCCTGACCTTCGCTCGCCACTGCCTTCGTGCCGTGCATCTCGAAGTCGCTGGAGTTCTTCGCGTTCCGCCTGCCACTTCCTCTTCTTCGCTTCTTTTCGTTCTCGATTCACCTGCCTTCTGGTAGATGGGGTAGTCGACGACGAAGCCTGCCCAAATGCCCCCGACTCCATCGATGGCATTAAGGCCTCTACACCTCCTCGAACTGCACCTTGTGCGATGGTCTCCTGAGGCGTCTGCACTCTTCCCTTTGATCCCGAGGCCAACCACGTCAGGGCCGGACCATGCACCTGGTCCTGCCAAAATTTCAGTTCGCTCGGCACCATTTTGATGATCGCTTCCCATGGCTTCTTCTCTTCGAAAGCGAGTGGAGCCGCCTTCCCGCCCTTCATGTCCATGTTGATCCTCAGCTTCAACCTCGACAGAAGTTCGCTCCGTGCCATCTCGTCTGCCGCATACACCAAATGCCAAGCCTCGGGGTATGCTCTGGTCAGTTTCTCCACGAAGAGCTCGTAGGCGTGCAAAGGTGCCAGAGTGCATTCCTCTAACATCAGCATGGCCGTCGTGAACACCCGGTAGCAAGCTCTCCATTGAGTGAAGTTCGCCGGACCTGGGAGTTCCTTCGCAACATAGCCGTCCGCCGTTGGGATCCATGTCTTGTATTTCGAAGCTCGTAGTGCCTTCCTGCCGAACGGAACGAACACGCCGAAGTCGCAATACGGAGGTTTTCCCAAGCTCAACTTCTTCTTCAGGGCAGACAACTGCTCTATCGTGGGCTCCTCCTCCTCCTCGGGTAGTGCGCCTGTCATCAACACATACTTCTGGAGCAGCGTCATCTTTGCCTCTTCGTTGAGGACCTCGAACTCCCCATCGTCTCCCTGATCGAGTACCTGCGTGAACTTCAAAGTCCTCTCCTTCGCCTCCATCCCAAACTCCCCGGATGTAGTTCGTGCCGTAGCCATCGAACCCTTTGAAGGTGAGGTGGGAGTGTCGCTCCAAGGCTCTTCCTCTGTCCAGTCCTCCCAGTTGCCCCCTCCTTTCACAAACATAATCCTCCTCGCCAACTTCCACACCAGCCCCACCTGGGCGGCCTGCACCGCGGTCAAGGGGGTGCCATCGTCGAAGCTCGCCTGGGCCAAGGAGGCTGCAATCACCGAGCCAGGGAGTGCAGCAAGTAGTCGAAGGTCGTCGGTAGGGTCGCCGGCCTCGCGAACAAAAGCTTGCCAGAGGGGGACCGACACCTGAAAGTGGTCCAGGGCATCCTGAACCGACGACACCGAAGCCGCCGCCATGGCGGAAGGAAACATGGCCTAGTGGCCAAATCAGGCCGACCGCGAGGATCCCAAGGACCCTCATGACAAAAACCGAAGCGGTCAGGGCTTGAGCCAAAATGGCGTACTCAAGCCCTGACCCCACCCAGACCTACCTAGTATTGTCCATCAGAAAACTCCTTCGTCTTTTTCTTGTACGAAATGACCATTTCCAGTGCACATGTCCGAGTGTTCGCCCGTGGTCGCTGTCGGGGGGGTCACCAGATCTCCCCCACTTTCCATCCGCACTTCTGAACTCCACACCTACCCTCCACTCCACAGAGGCCTTCAACTCCACCACCTACCCTCCGATGCTGGGCTTCCCGCGGTGCCGTGAAGGTCTCCCACACCGTGGCGTCGGTGAGGTGCTCCTCGTGGTATTTCGGCCATGCATGGGCTGAGGAGGTGACCCAAGACCCAGACCATCCATGGGACTGGCATATATGCCGATCAATTGACCCCCCTGGCACCATTCCAATGCATATTATGGCATCATTACATGGAGTGTTTGGGATCCGGAATAAAGGAGCTTCCTTTATACTTCAACGGATCCACACATATCATGGAGCTGGACTTCTACGTCTTCGAGGCAGGCAGTCAGTGCACAGTCCACGACACAGTGGCCCAAGGTCCGGTCATGCGAGTCATGGCGAGTCATGCGGTGCTGCCGTTTGCGGCGGGGGCCCTTTTTGGGGGATTGGTTCTGACGGATGTTGTATGACAAAGGTCGTTCTATTGCTTGGACCTTGACCCCATTGGTCCTACGGGAAGTTACTGATGGTCCTCATGGGTCCTGTTGGTACTGTGACCTTTTTCTGGACCATTGGAGTAGTGCCACTGTCACTCCATCGGACAGTGTTGTCAATGCCTTGTGTGGTCAAGAGTGTAATTTCCAGCATTTGTTGCAGTGATACACGGCAGTGCTCCTCTGGTTTTGGGAGTACCTCCACTGAACAATACAGGTGGTTTTTCGATTTGACCCACCAATAATTGAGGCCATGCAACTCTGCAACTCAAGTTGAATAGACACGTGTAGTATTTCGGGTCCAAATGCTGCAGCCTTAGGGAAACCATATATATATATCTCTCCCTCTTGTCTGCATGGACGGCCTTTTCGTCTGTCCCACCGTCACACCATCACATGACCGTCCCCCGGCCGCCTGCATCAGAAGCCACCGGTTCAGGGGAAAGCGACGCCTCGGCTTGAACGACTCGAGCGGACGGCGCCCACGATCCACGCGGCAGGGAAGACAAGGGTGTTCGTTCGGTGTTCGAATGGGAGCCCAAAGCTGGACCTGTTTTGTTGATCCCCCTTCATTGTTAGGTTGTATGCTTTTAGATGCATTGTTATAAACTTTGGGGCCTATAAAATGCCTGGAGAGGGGTGAGTGGATTCTGAGCATTCAACACTAAAAATAGAAAAACACAGGCCTATAAAATGCCCATGATGGGTTCACCATAGAAAATACATCAAAAAGTTCACTGTCTATAAAATGCCAAGTGTGGGTGCAAACGCAAAAAGAGCGTGAACAAACAGGCACAAATCAGAAACTATCAAATGCCTCGCAACATCGCAGAACTTTGTCAAACACGCCTTGTAATTGGATGTAGTTGCCAACGTCGCTGGCGGTCGCCTGGTATTTTTAGCTGTTTTTTAGCGCTTTTCGTGTATTCATGATTTACACTACCACGTTTATCCTGTTTTCATGATCTACACTACCACGTTTTTCCTCTTTTCATGATCTACGCTACCACGCGCACGGTATGACATGGGGGGGTGGAGGGGGGGGGCTGGGGATAATGACATATTTGTTTTCTAGCACCCATATGTGAATGTTCGTTGCATGCACGTTGACATTTACACTTCGCACATGAGTACATGCAACTTACGCGCGCATGCATGCCGAAATTGGCTCAGGGACGACATGCCGCAGCCGTCTTTCCTTTTTTTTCTGGCGTGTTGCTTTGGTTCTTTTGTTGCGGTTGGGGGGTTTTGAGGACATAGACGAGTTACCAACAGTTCTTCGACCTTGGTTTCGTGTTCACCCGGGGTATCTGGACGACTTCACTTTCGTTTGTTCCAAACTTCGTAGTGGTGATCCTCTGGTGCCGCTGGAGGGAAATTTCTGTTTCAGGCATTTTGTCTCGGGTCAGTGCTGCCCGACCAGCCGCGCTGTACGCAGACGGCGCCAGAGCATGGAGCAAAGCCGCTTTGTTTTTGAACATCAAGTGCTTCCATTGTGTCCATCAAAAAAAAAGGAATATAGTGTACCCATCACAGACCAAGTTGTTCCACGTGGATTGTCAAAAGAAGCGGGCACTCAAACTCTTGATGCTGACTGGAAGAGCTTGAAAAGCTGGCTGCCACAAAATGGCAATAAAAAAGAAGGAAAAGGGGTGAAAGCAAAGCATTCCACCAAGCTAGAAGTGCGTGTGTGGCAGTGGCTGTTCCGTCGCGAGAAATTCCGCGGATCATGCCAGGAAAATGTCTCTGCACTAGCAAAAGTGTGGAAACGCAAGTAGTTTTGGAAAGTGGAAAAAAAGAGGGTCCGAGCATGCGTGTCGGAGCCTGACTGGGGAGAAGAATCGAGAAAACACGAAAACACCAGGCGCCAGGTGGCGTCGTTCCCATGTAGTTATATAACTGGAATTAACCTGCTGGCCTGTTCTTGCAATGTTGGTAGTATATTGGTATATATATAAAATACCCCTGGTGGGTGCCTGCTTGCATCTGCCCTCCCCCATTTGATAGACAAGCAGGCATTGTAATTAGATGCAACTAGCTGGAATTCACCTGCTGGGTTGGGTTGGTTGACTACATGGAGACTTTTGGGCAAATCTTCAAACAAGAATCCTTCAGAGACCATTGGGGGCCTCTGGGCCTTTGCCATGTAAAACACAGGCAACCCAAACCTACCTGGCACAATGGTAGTATATAAAACGCCTCTGGTGGGTGCCTGCTGGCGTTGGGGCCCTTGCACCTGCCCCCCGCATTTTATAGACTAGCTGGCGTTGTATTAATATAGCTGGAAGCCATCCCACAGTCACAGGCTTTCTAGCAAGTCTATACCTGAGAGTGCTTTAGAGACCTATCCACTAAGTGGGGACCTCTGGCCCTGCTTGTCTATAAAATGGGAGAGGGCAGGTGCAAGTACGCCTGGATGGCCTGTGTCTACACGCCCAAGGCCCTTTTAGTTGGACAATGTATGAACATGTCCAACAACATTGATAAAATGCCCTTGTTGGGTCCTGTACTAATCTAAGAGAAAAAAACCAGTTGCCTATAAAATGCACTGACCAGGTGCCAGTATCAAAATTACAAAACACAAGTAAAATCCTGCTATAAAATGCACCCTTGACCCTAATAGCCTCAAAATCACTCAAGTTTCTAAAATGCAAAAATGGACCTCATACCTGCAAAACCTTCAAAAAAAACACCAAGATTCAGTGTGTGCACCGCGTGGGTGCCCTATAAAATGAGGGTCAAAATTTGCATAATATAGCACAAAAGGATCGGCATTTTATAGGCGAACACCGATGGGGATTTGTTTTTTCATGCATGGGGTTTCGTCATGAAGAACATGAAGAACAGGGCAGTTCTCCCATGGCATTCCCAATAGGTAAACCATGGCATTCCCTCAGTAAACCCGATGCACTTGAACTTCTCTGCCACTTCTCCACTCTGTGACTTTTTGCAGAATGGTGGCATCTTACAGCTGCAACGCTCCGTATTTCTGTACTCTCTGCTTCTTTCAACATCACAAAGCTGAATAAATGTGCAGGACTTCCGAACAAATCATCTCGCCGTGGCAAGCCTCTCGAGTGTTGGGGTTGAAAATTGATGTTCCGCAGAGGTGGTTGCTCGTTTTCTTTGTGAACGTACATGACTCCTTGTCCAAAACCTCTGGGCTATAGCCAGTAAACTCCCATCCACTCACATCAACGGCAACCTTCCAGTGCCTGTCTGAGCACCCTTGACATACCCTTGTCAAGGTCGTCAACCAATCAAAACACGTAAGGTCATCAGGTCGTGGTGGCACTGCCAAGCTCACGTTCTCCATCCCAACTGCTTTCATATCACCCATGACTGTTTCTGAATCTTGGTATATTATACTATATATATATGTTTTTGATATTATCATATACCACACAATACCAAGCATATCGAAAATTTGTGCTCTTGCTTGTTTCTTTATTTCATCTCACCCGATGGCGTTTTGGAAAACCCCTCCTCTCTCCCCTCCACAGCTTTTCAGGCCAAATGGCCATTGCCCCAAGAGCTCCACGTCCACAAACTCCGCCAAGAAGAGATCCGTGGACAACGAGCTCACCTTCCTTGGGCCACGGCCGCTCCCGTTGCCGTTTCGACCCGCGGGTATTTGGGTCAGGAAATGGATCAACCAGCATGAGGTGATTTGGGAAAATACCACACATGCTGAAGGTGGGTCTTGGCACAGCTGATCCCGGTTCTCAGTTCTCAGCTAGTCGTTTTTTCAGCAAGGACACATCTCAAAGATGTGGCATCTTCCTGTTGCGTTTGAGACTGTCACATGGGCACTGGTATATGGTGGTATCATGTCATTTGCGTGATACCACCATACGCAGTCCTTCTACGCTCCTCCGGTCTCGCAGTCCTTCGTGAAGGCGCCAGTCATTAGTCATTAGTCATGGCGTTTTCTAGCTTCCATAAGCTCACGCAGTGACTCACTCACTCCAGGGTGGCCAGCTTGATCAATTGTGGCCTCCGACTTCCGACGAACTATGTCAAACCACTGGTTTCATGTCTTGCCATCTAGGATGAGTTGCATGCTAAGGTGCTTGAAAGGCACGGCAAATGACCCTGCACCACAAACAAGCCCAGCATCCCTCCATGTTCAAGTCAGTTCGACGTCCGCGTTTCAAAGTGCAACCAGTTATTCGATCTGGGGTCTTCTCTTGCTTAGGCATGGTCTTCCATAGTTTCCCTTTGTATTCCAGGACCTTCAGAGTGATCTCATGTGATCTCTTTGCACTCTCTAAGTGGCCCTTTACATCTTTTACAGGCCTAAGTGACCTCATTCTAGGATTTCAAAAGGTCACTTGAAGGTCCTGGTACGTAATTGGTTCGGACCTGTGATTTGTTGGCGAACCTTGTAGCCATTCTGGCCATTCTCACATAGTTGGACCATCCGCTGACCATCACTCATCTTTGCTGCAAAGTACATTGGATGACTGGCTGCACATAAATATGATAGATTTGCTCGTTTGCTCATCTCCCTCAAACGAATATTGCCATCCCCTGCTCAGCCATGCAGTGAAGATTTATGAGAATCGTTCCCACACATCTTTTTCACAGTCATCTCAATATCACCTCCAATATATCAATATCAGTCATAAAGGCTTAAAGAAATGAATGGTAAAAATAATATAGACTAATAGAATAATATAAGTGACCGATGTTTTTTATCCAAAATTTTCCATAGAAATATCATATCTAAGAAGAATGCATTGCCGCTCCCACACATCTTTTTCACAGTCATCTTAAAGGGAACAGGTACTATCAGGCTATCAGCTTACAAACTCTGCTTCAACAGGCATGCTTGTGCGGTCGCCATGCTTGCTTCAACAGTTCGGGCATGCGCAGCCCTCGAACTCACTCATCACTGGATGCGGAGCCCATCTGAGGCTCAAACACAGCTCTGGGGAAGAGGGTCGTTCCATCTGGCGGAGTCCGGGCGGATGGTTTTGATGGGAGATGATGTGCATCGCACAGGTCAAATCTTGGAGACTCACTGAATGGCCTGCATGTTCAATGGTTTCAGTATGGTTTCCTGATGTTTCCTCAGAGTCCTCTAGAGGAAACTTCCTTGATTCAACTTGATTCCCTTCAATGCTGACCACAATGGTGCCAAGTTCTGCCTTTGCCCTGATCATCTCCCTCCCCCTTTGCGTAAGATCTCAGCACATGACATTCTTTATCCATCAACCTCAACATGGGGTCCCTGATCTGACCCAGTCGGGCTGCCACATGACTCCTCGATCGGGTGGTTGATGTCCCCAACCCTTCCGATGTCCATCCATGGGTTTTTGTTGCTTCGCCCTCAGGGCTCCAAAGGCTGAACCCCAAGGCCTGCGACTCGAGCGAAGGAAAACAGGAGACCAAACACAACCTTGAGTGGTTCTGTTTCGGACTGTCCCAAATGGCTGGTTGGTGTGCCAAAAAAGAACGCCAGGGCTATGAGAACAGGCAGAACCGCCCGACCGAAACCCCGCCAAAAAGGCCGCCCCGACCGCGGTGCGCGGTGTGGGGCCATGCCGGGTGGACCCCAAACCCTGGAGGCTTCGGCCACCACGAGGCCGCCGGAGGTGAACTCGCGCAGCTCCAGGGGCAACAAACACCTCCAGGCCCACCACGGTCGCGCGACCGGTCGCGGCATGAGCAGCTTTCGGTCGAGGTTCCAAGGTCATCCGGACGGTCTATAGATGGACTTCTCTTTTTGTGTTTTGTTTGGCGAAGATGTTCTGCTTTCGACTCAATGGTCAAGATCCACAGGGCTTCATCTATAGCTGGTTGGACCCTCCAAGATGGGGGATCGCCAATACCCTGAGGTTGGAATGTCTGAGTCAAAGCACCTAACTAAGCCACCTCTCGTTCCATCCCATCGCCTGTCAGGCATCTCGCAAATGGCGACCTGTATGGGTCCAGGGCTGCCAGCTCCCCAGCCCTCAGCCGTTCGACGGTGATCTCGATGAAGCGACCCACTGCACCACCGTGTGGTGCCCCTTCAGCAACGTGTGGTGCCCAGTGGTTGAATGAAACAGTCTGAGCCACACGTCCGCTTTTCTCATAGCATTGATTCCATGGATGCGGGATTCACGGAAGACTCCGAGTCGGCCGGCTCAGCTTTCCCAAGTAGACTCTGCGTGGGGTATAACTCGGGGTGCAAAGGTTTGTGCGAAGAATATCGAAGAAAGAGTTTTGAGAGCGCAAGACTGTCTACCTTCCAACTTTCCAACTCACCACCACACCCTTTCAAAAACAGTAACAGGTCCACTCAGGGATGCTCAACGAATGTCCCCAACAATCATGTGTTGTGTCTGTTTCCCTCGCCCAAACTCCTATGTCCCTGCTGCTTTGCGGACGGTCCCATGTCCCTTTGATCTTTCTCAGACCATGGGACATCGGTGGGACGGACGTTCATGGGGGTAACTGATGAATGTACACTCCCTGAAACCATGGAAGGTGGAATATGGGCCCCTTTTTGCGTGAGCATGTTCATCTAAGGTATGGAAACCATGCTTTTTCCCCTCCATGGATCCATGGAAACCCGACTTGGAAGCCTCGTGTCACTCTTCCAGTCCCGTCGTCCCGGGTCTCTGCGCCCAAGCCACGAAGCGAGCATAGAGGCGCGCGCTGATGTTGTAGGTGCCTCCCGCTGGACATAGAGTGATGGGTGACTTGGACACCCGTTCGGCCGAATCATCGCCACTTCAAGGAGCTATTCACGGACACCCCGAACAAGGGGCCCTGGTATGAGCTACATGCAAGATTCCTGATGTGGCCTGTACAGTACTGGTTTCAAACTATACATCCGTCCCCAGAGTCCCGATCGTTTTCCAAAGAACATCAACAAAACATGCTTGGATGAACCCCCTTGACATAGAAGTGTTCATGATACTGTTTGCATCTGCATGTCTACAAAATACTTCAGGACATGACAGAATAAGTATACCCTTCAATTACTGATCATTTTTTGACTCATCTGACGTCGCTTCGTCCTCTATCACGAGAACATTTGTTGTAAATCAGCATAGGTTGGACGGGATTCGGACCAGCATGGCATCCGAACAGCATCCTCCTTGCGGACCTGGAGACGGAGAAGTCGATCGTTCGACCACCGCAGGGTCCGGCAGAGCGAACCAGTAGGTCCTGGCCCTGGCTCTACCTGCAGTACTGGCAAGCAATGAACAACGAACACGATGGAGGCTCCGGCAGCGATGGCCGTGGCCGGTTCTTGTCCGGTTTCCGGTGTCCGAAGCTGAGAAGGCTTCGGACTGAAGCAACAGCGTCGGCTTCATGTGGCACCTTACGTATATATCTCCGAGGAAAGCCGGCACGCGTCATGAAGGAAGTGTGAGGCCTTGAGCACAGTGTGACAAGGGTGAAGAAAAATGGTCCCAACACATTCAAGGGTGACAAATGGCCCGGAACAGCCTTGGCATAGAGCTTTTTTTAATGGTTTATGGAGGTCAAGTTGAGGCTGTTATGGTGTTTTTTCGTGCGTAGAGGTCTGGTCGAATGCGGCAAGTCATCGAGAGGGGAGGCAGTGCCGGGCACTGCAGATGGATGCGATGAATGTGGAGCTTGGAATGTCCAGCTCCCAAGAAGCCAGGAAACTCGTTGTCGCGCGTATTGCCTAGAGGTTTCGGGGATTCAGCAAAATGTGCCCAGTCCGGAAAAATATGGGAATCAATATATGTTAATGCTGCTTTAATATGTTTAAATAGTTAATGTCATATCCTAATTAGTCAAGTGGGAGGGAATAAGACAAAGTTTGTTCACGCAGTTTGTCCCGTCTAGTTACTACTGCTGCTGCTGCTGCTGCTACTGCTACTACTACTACTACTGCTACTACTACTACTACTACCAATTGTTTTTGTGGCGGGGATTCTATTCATACTCCCTCGATTGTTTGCTAGGGGGAGGGTTTTACCAATTAAGATCCAATATCATACACATCACCCAATAGCTAAGTCAAATCAGAGATTCTAACCAATGCTGTTAGAAGGTGCAGCTTGTAAGCTCCCTTCAGCAGCTTGTCAGACCTGGCGCCCCCCCAAAAAAGACCGGTGCACCCGTCGAAAGAAAGAGGCATCCGCTGCATCCGCTCCGCTTGGATTTGGACTCTGCAGGTGGAGGAGATGGTCTGCTACTGCGCCACCAGAGCCACGGTGCTACAGGTGGGGCCACAAGTGGGGCAAAGGCTTTGATCTTCGATCTCCATCGTCCACTGGTGGCACCGGACCCTCGTCACCCTCGTCACCCTCGTCGACGTGGTTGGTCTAAAAATCCGCCGCGTACCCCAGCGGCGCTGTAAAGGCAGTCACTGATCAGAAGGATGCCATCAATAATTGTCCGGAATCACTTGGAAAATTATTGATGGCTTCACTGGCTTTACATGCGTGAACATTCACCAGCGCTTTGCGCAATGTCGCCATGTTGGAAGGATTGGCGTCATGAGGTTGAAGAAAACGCCCACAGTGACCTCCTAAAAATGTCAGCCACCTACATGCCTGTCCCGTGAAACATGTTCCTTTTTCCTGCTGCACATCCTCCAAAAATGAATAGTCTCCTGCGACGAATTGCCGCTTGGATCTTCATGTTCCACTGACTGGTGGAGGAACTCTGGTCTTAAACTGACCTCTCATTCCACGAACGAACAAACAGCCATGAAACATTCTAGCCTTCAATCTGGGACACACAGCTGCTGTATGGGAAACACATGGAACTTCAGCATCCCAACTTGTAGGTGTTTCTGCATCTCTCAGTGTTTGCTTTCTGCGAGGACCTCCCATCTCACCCTATGCAAAACCAGGAAATGGAGCCCAACCACGCCTTTATTGATGTAGCTGGGCCAACCCGAATCACCTCAGCGCTGACGCAACAAGAGCAAAGAAGCCCAAAGAAGCAGAGAGACAAAGGAGGCAAAGGCCGGACGACTGAGCCGCAAGTACCCCTTTTGGCAGACCACTAGCCTTTGCACGGCCACGTTTTGCTGCTCCCTTTGCATCAGATCAGATTGGCAGAAAGTCCTGCACATGTATGATGGCTAGCTGCTAGCTGACGCGGCTCAAGAAGAATGTGGCTCCCTTTTTAACAAACATTTGCGCGCGATCTTTGGGTGAAAATTCGATGCAAGAAATGCATCGGATGGGTTGCATCTAGTGGCACTCACCGAATCATGGTCCTCCACAGTCCAGAATTCCTGTATATCTGCATGGTTAGTATGACTCGATTTTATTGTTTTATCTTCTGCTTACCTTCCAAGACAACCGTGACAACCGCCATGCCCGCCCCCCTCATGGCCCCTCATGTTTTTCAAGGAAAACACGAGTTTCGAAGTGGGGAAAACATGTGGGACACCTTTTCGACTTCCCTAAACACACGCCAGACGCCTTCCACAAGACCACGGCATCTGGGCGCTCGTGCTCAACGGCGGCACCGGTAGGTCTCGCCTCGTTTGGACACCAGGCCCGGTGTAACACCATAACACCCCAAGGGTTGACTGGTGAAATCATAAATAAGTATACGTATTTAATATACTAATATACATATATTTACATATTATATATATAATTAAGAACAACTTGTATTATAAAATCATGTCAAGCACAGAAACAAAGTAAACATGGCATAAATCTTGTGTTTAGTTTGACATGCTGGACTCCTAATTTTTTGCATTGAGTCCTGTGTCATGTCATGATTCAAAATCCACACAAAGAACATCTTTGGGGTATAAAATTAGTATATAATTGATTGCGGAAATGAAGAACCCTTCTCCGATCAATGTCAGGAAGACTATGGGACATTTGGGAATCCAACACGCATCAATGCAATAGATTCCTTTTCTGGTAGTGAACGCTCGTTCCTGTTTGACAATGTAGCATAGCAACACCCATCGCTGGATGTGGATGACCTAACGATCTCATCAACTCCTGGATAATATATTTACCAAGGTCTCAATATTAGTTCAAAAGGAACCCTTTCCCTATCCCCATGTAGATGGTCGTGGCCACCTCCAACATGACCCTCGCACCAGGCATCTTCGTTCGATCAATTGTTGAGATGTACACCCATGATCACACATGTTCAGGGCAAGCTGCACACTTGGGGCGAACTCGATGTTCTGTTGTCTATTTTTTCCGGGTTTTTTTTCCGTGGGACCGGGAGTTTCGGGCAGCTGCAGTTTGGCGCCTCAGAAAGGTGGGAGGTCAGAGATTTTCGGTGACGATCCAGAAACGATCCAGAAGCCTCTTGGGGACGTGCATTGTTTGTTCAGTAAAGGTTCTTAACCTGTTGGGTTAGTTGGTTTGTTTGTCAACCAAAGTTTTGTTGGGGCATCCTGGGCTTGGGGAGCCATGCCCAAATTGCTCTCGAACAACCTCGGGAAAGTGTCACTGGGGAGGTTTTGTGAGGACGACAGTTCTGGTTGGCACATGGAGAAACGTGTCAGCGAATGACTGGACCCATGCTGAACAGACCCTGGAAGGAAGAACAACACTAAACAGGTCAAGGAACATGTTGTAGTGTGACCACTGGAGAAAAACTCTCTTCTGAAAGAGGGACATCTACACAGATGTCATCCAGTCATCCACCATACTACTGACTACTGTTGGTCTCACCAAAGTTCGGCGCTTTTCTCTCGCGGGTGATTTGGGGCGAGCGGTTCGAGGGGCATTTTTTTGAATACACTTGATTACCGTCAGAAGCAACACATGGATTCGGCTTGATTAGACTGTAAGTCAGTTGTCCGGCATGGATTAACATACTATATAAGTATAGGACTTAAGTTACAGCCGGATTCGGAAACTAATCAGTTGGATTCTGAACCTGCGGTTCTGATATAAAACCGCCCACCTTCAGGTCCTCTAAGGTTATGAATGTTGACCTGTTTTGGTCCGGATCCAAACCAAACCTAGCCCACCTTGCCCTTCCCAAAGCTCCGCGTGCCAAATACTGCTCGGTTCCTTTTTTTCCCGGCTTCGCAACGTCAATGTTCGGAGGCTGACAGTCTACTCAGGAGAGGGGGGGTCCACTTCCGCGCCGGGGCTTGAAGGGTGTACTGACATCCCTGGACTGAACAATGACTCAAGACTCAAAGGATCAGGATGAAAAACAACCGACTGAAGATGGTACCAAAGCTGGATGGTTACAAGATGGAAACCTTGGTTGAAAATGGTACCCAGACTCGTGACCGGTGGATGGTACCCCCCCAAAATTGTTAATCCTCAGGTGTCGAGTTTTCTCGAGAACATGGTACCCAAACCCAAACCCCTGGGTGTATTATACAGTGGTTTCAGAGTAGATGGCACTAGCACCCAAAGATGTCTTTTGTATGGGGGTCCATGTATAACCCACCGAACTTGAAACTTGAGGCCATCTAGTCTGAAACCACTGTAATATCTCTTGGCTTCAAAAACCTTCGCAGGAAGCATGTCTCTTAGAGTTTGGACCACCAACACCACTACCATCACTCCAACTGACCAGCTGACCACCTGACCTTGTCTGAACCTTTTCCGTCGGACTGAGCTTTCGGGTGATGTCACAAATCTCTTGGAATATATAAACCAAAAGCCATGTTGGCCTCTGTGCAGCAGCTTGCAGAGATTTCATCATATGGGAGAGGGAACTTTATTTCACATTTCCTGAAGGTACCGCTTTCAGTGTGGCCACCGTCTTGATGTTGAGTCTATGGGCGGGTGAAGTTTCAACATCGCGAGATCCAACCAGTTTCTTGCTGACAATAGGGGCATCGTTTGCGACGCGGCCGGATTGCTTCGGAGAGCCACCAAGTGTTTACATATGTTTGCTCACTTGCTGAAGATGGAGATTAGTCCAAACAAGAGCTGGGTTTAGTTCAGTATGTGGGTCCGCCAACCTGCAGCTTTCTGACTTGCTGCGCGAGATCAAATGTTGGCAGTTTCATTGGCATGTCCATCCTTGGAACGATCTTGATATATATATATATATAACATTATAAAACACAATTGCATCCGATGCGCATCGGAAGGCAAGGCCTGCAGCTGTTTTCAGATTTGGACTTCAGAGAGTGGGCTGGGAATGGTTTGATATGTTTCAATGGCTTGCAACTCAAGTGGGTGGGCACGTGAGACAGAATGAAGCACTGCATTCTCCTGCATGTAAGCACCGCATGGGCCTGTGAAGAGTGTCCTGTCAATCCGGCACCGAATCCGCTGTGCTGGGCCTTTTCCAGCGATCAGGAAATTCCAAGGGATCAGGGTTGTTACAGCCATTGCTCTTGCTGGTAAGAACGTCACCAAGAAATACCAAGATGTTGTCATACTGTCACCATGAAAGAACTCTCTGGAGCAGCCCAGAGCAGCCAGGAAGTGGCTTTCAGGATGGCAAGAAGGAAGTGATTTTTATGCTCCCCTGATTCTTGCTGATCGGCTGTTCATTTTCATGCAGTGCGGTGGTGGACTTGGTCGGTCTTCTCCAACAAATGATTGAATGTTTCATTTGGACCAATCAAACCATTGGGATTTGTGGCAATTGGTATGGGCGCACATTTTGCAGTGACCATGGGAGGCCATCAGTTGTCTTCAAGGTGGATTCACAGAAGGTCCTCGCAAAAGGTGGCTGACTACGTTTAACGACAAGGTTGACAAGGTGGCCAAGAAAACATTGCGGGTTGATTGGGAAAGACTTGCTGAAGGTGCAAGGTTTGTTCAATGACTTTCAAAAGGCTGAGCACCCTTCTGATCGATGGTCATTCCTTTTGAGCGCCACTTTGTGGTGTCAAAAAGGTGTGTTTCTTTGGGGCGACGGTGATTGGACGGTGGCTGGGTTGAAACCTGTTCCATTTGGTGAGACATGGTGAGACATTCACCACTCTGTTTTTAACGCTCTCGAAAGGTACCCTGGCTCCGGGATCAACACACCTACTTGATGGAAGTCTACGTGCTTTTTGCTTAGACACCAAAATGATGATGCCAGTGTGCTCTAAGTCACTGAAAAGGAGAACTCTGGGCACCTGCTACCTACACGTACCTATACTACGTGATGAGAGTGTAAAGGTCTCGGCCAAAGCCGACTTGTCCGAGCAATTAAGAAGTTTTGTCTGGGCAGTTGGTGGGAGTGTTTCAATTCAATTGCTTTTCACGTGGTTTCACTTCCACTCCGACATATTTTCACAAGTCTTGCTCCCAAATCAAGAACGTGTTGCGCGCGTTCTTTGAGACTACTTTCAGAAAGGTGCACGTTCCACTTTTCCACATTTTTCCACACTCAATTTTAACAAAATGCATGGAAGCCGGCTTTCGCCGGTGCTTGACTTTGCCTTTCCCATTGTGTCTAGTGTACAGTTCTGCTGACACTGGCTACCACCTGCGAGGCATGCACCAAACTGCAAAGACCAAAATTACTGAACATCCGAAATCAACAGTTGTTTTTGCATGAAGGCTAGTGTCTTGCGACGCACCGGCAATCAACATCAATTGCCAGGACCCTCCAAGGGGTGTCCAATGAACTACCCCACACTATAGGCTTCCAGACAGGGCACCCCTTGGAGGGTCCCGAAATGAACGTTCTAAACTGACGGTGGTCTCCCTCAATCCCAATCTCTGGCCCTCTCCCCGGAGAGGCCGAACGGATGGGACGGGAGAGGGAGATGAGGGAGATCACCGCCAACCCAAACGGTTGATGTGGTCCTATCCTCACGTGTCACATGGCTGTTTGTCACCAGGCCTTCGAGATGACCTTGGTTGACTGCCACATGGTGGGTTGGTGGGGCTCCTTTTCTATTTAACCGGTTTGTCACATGAAGTGTCCTTCTTTCTTCCTCTTCCTCTCCCAGAGAAGACCTTGGGGCCAGCCTCACTGAGACATTTGCAGCAAGGATGGTGAGTGTTTTTTGAACTCTCATCCTTGCGTCCTTGTAAGACTGGAGGATTCATAGTTGCGAGAAAGGCAAGCTCCAAGAAACTGTGATTTGTTGTTACAAGTTTGTGTTTGGAATGGTACCCCTGGAATGTGGAATGGTGATGATGGCAGCACATTGAAAAAGTTATGACATGCTGTAAGACTAATCTGCCAAAGACTGCGGAGTCTTCCACGCTCCTCGCAAAAAGCTTGGTATCAACATTTGTTCCATATATGGGAGTTGCTGCGGCGTCTGACCAGGTGCTTACGATGAGCAACTAAAATTAAGCACAAATCAAAACCACCAGCTAGAATGAATAGACTGAATTGATCTGAATTGAATTATATCGAATTGCAAAATACTTGATCTATTCAGAATTCTACAGTGTATAGTGATCTATATGTGGCTTCTTGACAACTCC